AACTAAACAACTTAACTTTTAAAGCAACCAAACCTAAATTTAAAGTTTACAAAAGTTACAGTTTAAACTTACCAACAACTTTAAACAATTAAAGAAAAAAAAATTAAGAACTTCAATTACTGATCAAAACTGAATTAGCAAGCAAAGCTTAAGCTTGAAAAATAATAGCAATTAATACAGAACAATAACATATACCGTGGGACCACTGTATTTTAGCATCCAGGCCTTTAAGTACTCAATACGAGTATAGATATAAGTAGGGCAAGAAACTCAAAAAAGGATGAAAGAAGGAAGCGAAGTAGTTTAAAAGTTATAATACCCTTCTTATAAAGTATCGCTCTAAAAAAACGAAAATTTAATGGAAAAGCTTTTCTCGTAAGTAGGCTACCAAATTGCTCAGAAACACTCTGGGAACGAACTGAAACTACTGTGAATCACTGAAGGAAAATACGAAACTTCCATAAAACTTTTCTAATGGAACCTTCACTAAATGTTTCGGTAGCTGAAAATTTTGAAATATATAATATTCATATCAATATTTGTTTTATTAGAAGTTCTAGGATTTTACTAGAACGCAATTCTAGTGAGTGTGAATAACTTAATCAATGATGAGCTTATAAGTCGACTGCTTTTGAAATATAAGCTTGCTTTGTAAAATAATATGATAGAACCGTCAAAATTTCATGTTATCCTGGTTCAAGAAACATTAATTCAAATCACACATAACATCGCAAAGTTAAATGAACATTCGAATCAGGTTTCATTCCTCCAAGTTTATTCAAGTCTAACACGTATTCAACTAGCGCTACCAGATCCAAGAACAAGAAGTATACATCATGAAAGATTTACGGCCTCTTTGGCGATTAGAATATATTTCCAGATAAAATTTCTTACACACTGGGCCCGGGTTAACAGTAGTTCAGAAAAATCAAGATTATCAGTGATACAGGAACATTTTTAAGAATTATTTTCAAGAATCATCATGCATTTCAATACAAATTCAAGTTTTTGTTATCAAGAAAATCTATTTTAACTTCGCTAATATTTCTTTATGCTTGATCAGATAGCCTGGCTCAGTAAAAGTAGGCGGCCAGTGCAACTCTGATTAAAAATCTAGTTTCAACCACGTGCAGTGCTGATAAAGACCACGTGTTTCTGTGACTCCTCCTATTTTCTTCTTTCTATGTATTCTTTCTCCTGATGAGGAGGGACCTTTAGCTGCCCTCGAAATCGATTGAGTGTTTCATTATACCTACGCTAAATACAAGGTTGTTTTTTACGATTTTGATTTCTTTGAGTTCCTCTGAATTTGCATTAAACTGACGCAAATTCATTCCTGCATCTTTAAGCACGCAACAGGCTCCAGTACTTAACTTAAAAGACTGTTTCACGGAATCTGCCCCATAGAAAACATCATCTACGTAGATCAAACAGTTCAACATCTCAAAAATATCTGGATTTTTAACTCTATTTTCTTTATATGCTTTTTTATGGTGTACGCCAGAATGAAAGGGCTACATGACACACCGAAAGGAACGCGTGTCATTCTATAATGTTTCAAATTGTAATTATTATCAAAGTATAAAAACCGTAATACATCTCTATCAATTTCAGAAATTCCAATCTGGAGAAAGGCCTTTTCAATATCTGCTGATAACGCATGTTTGTATTGTTTGAACCGCAATATCAAATCCAAAACAGAAGGATTCAAATTTGGGCCAGGCATCAAACAATTGTTCAGACATACTCCATTGTTACATTTCGAAGATGCGTCAAACACGATGCGGACTTTAGTTTTTGATACATGTTTTCTTCCCACTGGAGAATGTGGCATGTAACACATTTTGCTACTGTCACAACTTTCAATTTCACCTTCTTCAATTATTTCATTTTTTAACTGTTCGTTTATTATGCTATCATAATTTTCCTTAAGCCAATCATCACTTCTTAGCTTATTAACCAATGATTCTAGACGTCGCTTGCCATTATCTAAACTATTACCCAAGTTTTCATGATGTGATTTCCATAATAAACGAGCTACATATCTACCATTAGTAAAATGCAATTCTTTTTCAAATTTCTCAATGACTGATTTGTCATCAGGATTCTCCTTCTTTTCTAAACCCAAGTGGTCCAAAGTCCAAAACCTTCGCAAACAGTCACTAACTGAATTATTATTATTATTATAACTGAATTATTAATTATTAACTGAATTATTATTACAAGCAATGAGAGCACCAGTTGTAAACATACAGGCTCTGGACTGATCACCTTCCAAAGATCCAACCAAGGACCAACCAAATATAGAATGATACTGCAAATAATTTATTACTTACTCTTTTCTTTTCTTCTGTTTGCTCTTCCCAACATGCATCAATCAGACCCTACAATATTTTGATTTCAGCTTCTTCTAGATATTTAGTAAAGCACTAGCAGATCCACTGTGAATAGGTGGAATTGACATAAATCGCTTATTCTGGGCAAAAGCCTGTTCCCTATGATTCGTTTGAAAATCTTTCTTCTAACAGTGACCAAGCAACTTTATAATTTTGATCCGAAACTGGGATTGACTTTACGACTCGTATCACCTTTTAGAGCTGATAATAAATATTGAAGCTTTTGTCCTTTTAACAAATTATCGTTGTTATGCACAGCAGCCTTAAATAAATCATTAATTGTTATCCAATCATAAACATTAATAGTAAATGTAGGTAAACTCAATTTTGGAAGCTTTACATCTGGGACTATTTTAAAACAATTATCAACACTTATTTTACCCTGTTCATTCTCAGTACTTTTCACAGAAAGTTTCACATTTAATTTATGTAGGAATGTTTTTATTCTTACTTCGATTTTTTCCAGACGAATCTCCATCTCTTCTAAATCCGTTTCTGTTTCACTAATATCCACTTTTACAGGCAATTTGAATCCTTTTGTAACTCAGCTATGCATCTCTTGACGGTGCACATAGTTTCTAATTTTACTTCACTTATCGGTTCAACCACCGATTCTACAAAGGTTTCTAAACGGGTGATTTTACCCTTCAGTGCAGCTTTTTCACGTTTTAACGAATTAATGTTTCCTTCCATTATTATGAAGGCAGGTTACACAATCGCTTCGGAAGAGGAGCGCACTTTCGTTTTCACGAATTCACTATTTAGATATTGCTGATTCGTTTCTAATTCGGGCTCGACAGCCCATGAAAGCTCATATTATAAAAATAACAAGCTCTCAATAACTCGAAAACACTTATAAAGTTAGGACTGTAGCTTTTATTTCACATCTCTGGGACTACTTTAGCTCTCAATAACTCGAAAACACTTATAAAGTTAGGACTGTAGCTTTTATTTCACATCTCTGGGACTACTTTAACACTTTCTCCACAAAGGCGGGATCACTCACTTCTCCAAAGCGAGAACACACTCTGGGGTTTTCCTTTTTTCCACAACACTGTCCTCTGGAGGCATTTTCTACATTTTGCAGTTCATATATGAGGGAGGTAAGACTGAACAGAGGGCATTGCTGATTTTTCATGTCTCCTGCTTCAAAATAATTTAACGAGTCTAGAATCTTTTAGGTGGTAGCCATATTTGAGTTTTAGAGTGTTGGAAGTTCTACAGTAAAAAAAATTAATTTTTAATTCATAGTTTTGCTTTAATATTTCGTCCATTCTCAAGAAGATGAATATTTGCATTTTGCATTTCAAATTTTTGGTTTCTAAATATGTACTTTATCTTTCAATTAACTATATATGCAATGGATAAATTAGAAATTCGATTCTAAAATCTCAGCTTTTCCGTTCTGATTCTAAATCCTTTCCTAAAATGCATTTCACAGTCATTGAATAATTTATCATGAAATCTATATATTTCAAGATTTCTTTCAGGTATAATTTTGGGAACGGAAATTTTTCAGCTAATACCCCCTTTCTCCATACTAAAATACTTTTTGCTGCCTGAGTGATTTTCATCTTAAAAGAAAGCATAAGAGCTTTTCTTCTTCCTCTGTTTTTAAATTTTAAAACGTTGTAAACAATAGAAAATAACTTACATTCAATTTTGGAGCAATGCTGCTTATATCAGCATAGTTTCTGATAATCAGTTAAGCAATTAATTAGAGAAACATTGAAAACTTGAAATTAGAAAAGCATTCATTGACTCCTGAAAGGAAGATGGCAGTGTAAGGTAACCATTGCACAGATCAGGATCAGGATAATGTGAAGGCATGTTGCAAAACCGATTTTTTAGAGCTGTAGCCAAAACATCGACAGTATTACGTGAAATAATATAATAAAAGAACATCCATTTTGGTCTGACCCAAGTTGAACTGCTAAACGTTTGTCAAAGAAATATTTTGTTTTTGATACGTATAGCTGAGAAATCTCATGGAAGTTCAGCGTGTAAAAGAACAAAGTTAATCATTATTTTCTCATTTCTCATAAATATACAAGTATTAATCGAGAAAGTCGTGTGAAACAGGGCTCTGTAACTGAAAACTTCATACATTACGTAAAATTCAAAACAAATCATTAAATTTTAGAACGTTCCTTTTTAAAAGCACTTTCTTGGTTTTGAAGACTATTACGCAATTGTTCCATTCATAATTTTTTCAGTTCAAATAAATGCCTGGCAAATTTTTATATTCAATTATAAATTGCTGTTACTGTTGACTTTTTAAAGATTAATAATTAATGTTTTAGTAGTAAAATAAATTAGAAAAAATCATAAAATAAATTAGAATAATAATAAAATAAATTAGAATATGAATCGTATATCATGAATGAAAAATTCATTAAAAATACGTATTTTCTATACACAAAATATCAAAATATGAAAAACTGAACATTGTGGGGTCATTTTCCCAGCTAGTCTAATAGACGATTTCATTTTTCTAGCAAATACTTTTATCATACTACATAAAATATGATACTGCAAAATTTTGTGCTGCTGATAAATTTTCTTGAGACAAATAATTAAATGACCGTTTTTTCCTCCTTTCAGATCCCTTGGATTAATCCTCATTAGTAAATTCATCTGCATGGCAATGAGACTTAAGCGCTTATTTTTCATTTTGCTGGGAACTTCTGCATTGTGTTTCTTGCTATATAGGTATGTCTTGAATGATAAGAATAGTTTATGGAAATCTGCTGAAATTTTAGAAATAAAAAGCAATCCGGGTCTCTTGATAGACACTCCAGGTTGTAAATTGCCCAAACTGGATCCGTATGATAGAACTCTGAAGAAACTTATTGCTAACAAAGGAGAATATAGCTGTCCTGGCAATCCCTCCTTCCTGATTCTTAAGCCCAATAGCACAATATTATTGAATGAAACAGTATTAAATATTCATTATAAATTGAAATCAAATGATACTTCCTGCTGGTACCAAAATATACTGCGTCCGACAGAACCTCCAAAAAGCAAAAGAGAAAACTCGTATTCTTTCGGTGAAAAGAAAAAACTTGAATTCAGTGTCCCACTAGGCATGGATCATATCGTAGTAAATTGTGATTTAGCAGGAAAGCAATTTACACAGTATATTCCTTTAGTGCCGATTAAAAACGAAACTCAAACAGGAAGGTCTGAAATAAACAGAAACACTTCTTCAGTAGACCTGAATGTCATTCTTTTTGGCATCGATTCGGTATCGAAACTAAATTTTTTGCGCCAATTCAAAAAGACTCGCTTATTTCTGGAGCAGCACCTCTCTCCCTTTGAGCTGAAGGGTTATACGAAAGTCGGTGATAACACGTTTCCAAATTTAACACCATTGCTCACTGGTCACTTTATTGAATACTACTGGAATGAATCTGTAAAAGACACAATGGCTTTTGATGACGTTGATTTAATTTGGAAAACGTTTTCAAGGAAAGGTTATCGCACATTCTACGCAGAAGACAGCCCCCTTTATGGGACTTTTAACTACCTCAAAAGAGGATTCAAACAACCACCTACTGATTATTATTATAGGCCACTAGCCTTAGCTATTGATGGATCGGCCTTAAAGAAAAAAAGTAAGACTTACTGCATCGGTTCACAGTTAGAGGTTGATATCCTGCACAATTACTTACGAGATTTCGTAATTACTATGCATGACAGACCTTATTTTGCATTTTTGATGGTTTCGACACTTACTCATAATTATCTAAATTTTGCTAGCTATGCAGATGAGCCAACCTTTAGACTTCTAAAAAAGCTTTGGGAAATTGGTGCTTTTAATGAAAGCCTTCTAATACTTTTTAGTGACCATGGAATACGTTTTGGTGCTATAAGGCAAACATACATAGGAAAATTTGAAGAAAGAATGCCATTTATATATGTCTACGTTCCGCCAAAGTTCCTTGAGAAATATCCGCAATTCGCTAAGAATCTCTGGAATAATCAAAATCGTTTAACAACTCCATTTGATATTCACGCTACAATGGTTCATTTGTTACATCTTGATCAAAAAATGTCTCAGAAAGAAAGGCTTTCAATTTCACCGAATGGTTTGAGCCTTTTTTCAGAGATATCAGAGTATAGAACTTGTGAGCAAGCGAAGATTCTACCTCATTGGTGCCCTTGTCAGGTATATGAATACAAACCTATAGACGACCCATTAGTTGTAAAGGCAGCTGCTGCTATAATCGAAAAAATCAACAGATTGCTTCAGCCTTACCAATTTTGCTCAGCATTACATATTGACAAAATTACTGATGCCAGATCAGGTAAGGCTAACGAAAAGGTGCTGCGATTTGTGAAAAACGAACATGACGTGCTTAATCGACGCGTGATATATGGAAACAAAGTTGCTGAATTCATTGACTATCTAATTACACTTACAGCTAAACCTGGTGGAGGAAGGTTTGAAGGAACTGTTCGATATGATGCTCAGCAGAGTACATTTAATGTCTTAGGTATCAGTCGAATTAATATGTACGGGCAACAGTCATGGTGCGTTGATGTACAGGATTTAAAGAAATTCTGTTTCTGTAAATTCTAGAATCTTTTAGAATAAAAAATATCAATGGTTCGAATAAATGCACGTTTTCTTGTACCTGAGAAATCAGTTGCATTATTTTCAGTTAATAATGTAAATACAACAGTTTACGGCAGAAAGTTTTTGGATAACCACTTTCAATCCAAATTTCTGTATCAGTACGATTCTTTACTAGCTTTAGCTTTTAATTGCATTTTTTAAGTTTCCCTTCCTATTAGTTATAATGAAATTTCTGCTAATAACTTTGCAAGTAAAAATTACTTTAATTGTATAGTATGCATATGCTATTAAATCAGTGCGAATATCTCTTTAGTAAAGAAAGTAATATTGCAAGAATTACTTTAAGCTCTAATTTATATATGAGACGTGCACTCCACTTTAAATATATAATAAAAATAAATCTTTTACTCCGTTTTCGTACCTGCGTCATTTAAAATCATTTTGACGCCGTATTATAGTAATTATTTATAATTAAGGAATGCTATTTAGGAATTTCAAGAAGAATCTTATATTGTTTCATTTACAATAAAAATGAAAAACGCATGGTCTTTAAAAAGCCCCTAAACATAATATATATGACTTTTATATTAGTTAACTCGATAAACAGACGCCCAATAGGTAGAATAGTTAGCGTCGTTGACTGCCGTGAAAACCCCGGGTTCGAATCTGGGAGAAGTAATGGATGTTTGTAAATATTTAGTGTCCAAGCGGCACGGGGCCACTCTAAATATGCGTCGAGCCGAAAGTCCTCTCGAGAGGTTGTGGTAGGAGAAAAGGGGTTGTAGACCCTCGGACACATTCTTCTGGGCTGCTCTCCATCAAAATTGAAGGCGGAACTGAGCTAAACTCCGCACTGTCAACTGAAAGGTGCTCAAGGCTGTGCCAACGGCAGGCGTAATCTAGGCGTAATCTTTAAAAATGGCGAGCAACTCTTTCCTGGTGATAGAGTAATTCCTCTGTGTCCCAAAATCGTCCCGAAAGATGCATGATCTGTGCGGACCAAGAATGTTCTGACTTGGAGATAATAATGCAAGATTTCTACGGCTTTAACTGTGGCGAGAAACTCTTTTTTGGTGACATTGTAATTCCTCTCCGGTTCAGATAGAAACTTTCTCCTGTAGGCCAGGGTACGTTCTTAACCGTTTATTTCTTGGGACAAAACAGCACCGACACATCCATTAGATTCGTAAATGTATCCTCACATTCTTTTGTCCACAAAAACTTTTGCTTGCTCTCTGTCAGCTTCTGAAGGGGTCTTGCGATATAAGTTCCTTGTCACGAGGAATTTCGTGGGCATGGGCTGGCTATACGTGAGAAAAGTGAGCATAAGCGACAACAACAAATAACTGTATCAATTATCTAGAGATGTGTGTATATGCATAGTGAGGTGTTCCAGGTATAAAATCCAGGATAACCTTTCATGTTGCAAAAGAAATACAACAATTTTACTCATAATTCTACTAAAATTACCTATTCTAAGTACAAAATTCCAATGTTGTATCAAACGTGAGACCCTCTTGATCAGGAATAGGATACGCTTCAGGTCACTTAGCAATCTATGACAACGAAAATGTGTTTGTTGCCAGCAGCAGTTTGTTGCAGAGGTCCCAGGATGTCAAAGAAGATACGTTCGAAACGCCCTCCTACTTTGTAACTTTGTAGGTTCCATCGGCTGCTTTTCTTCGGTCCTTTCCGGCCCAAGCTGGCATCCCAAGATTGGCACTACTTCTTCGCGTCATCCTTTGCAGTCCTTCAGTGGAAGCGCTCTCGAACGTTTAGTAAAGTCTTCGTTATTCCGATGTGACTTTCTGTAAAGCTGCTAAGTAGTTCTCTAAGGACGTCCGTTATCTTGGAAGTATCAGCTGCCATCGCAAAATCTTTCCATCATTCGATTCGAATTTCCGGTACGACGCGCCGTTTCTAATATGGAGTGAGTTCCAAAGAGCCCAATATGGCTTTGTCGTAGGACTAAAGATCGAAATGTCCTGCCAGCTGTCTTTTTTGTTTGAAGCCTTCTTTATGTAAATTATGTATTTAATGTCACCGTCTTCCAATTATTCTTTCCTGACTTCGTCACCCCACGGCTCTCGATCAGCTGATGTTGAAGTTGTAACATGTCGTAAGACCGGATTCAGCAGCTTGTAATTGGCTTCGACCATTGAACGATATCGACAGACTCCTGGGCGAGGTAATTTAGACAGGGTGATGATCCCTTCCGATGACGGATAGTGGTGTCATATTTCTGGAGTCTCTGTCATATTTCTGGCTATTTGTCCAACAGGATTCTTGAAATTTAAAAGCCAGGTCAACAACACATAATTCATGCGGAGCAGAAGTTGTTTGCCGTAGAGATAATGATGGAAAGGTTCTACGTCTTTAAAAATGGCGAGCAACTCTTTCCTGGTGACAGAGTAATTCCTCTGTGTCCCAAAATCGTCCCGAAAGATGCATGATCTGTGCGGACCAAGAATGTTCTGACTTGGAGATAATAATGCAAGATTTCTACGGCTTTAACTGTGGCGAGAAACTCTTTTTTGGTGACATTGTAATTCCTCTCCGGTTCAGATAGAAACTTTCTCCTGTAGGCCAGGGTTTATTTCTGTAACCGTTTATTTCTTGGGACAAAACAGCACCGACACATCCATTAGATTCGTAAATGTATCCTCACATTCTTTTGTCCACAAAAACTTTTGCTTGCTCTCTGTCAGCTTCTGAAGGGGTCTTGCGATATAAGAAAGGTCCTTCTCAAATTTTCTATATTAAGCGCAAAGCCCTAGAAAACGTGTCAGCTGAAGGACGTTTTCGGGGCATCTTCAGTCCTTAACTGCTGACACGTTTTCAGGATCCGTCCGCACATCTTCAGCAGAATTGAAATGTCCGAGTTAAGCTACTTCCTATCTGAATATTTAACTTTAGATTAGCTTCTCAGAAATATCATCAGAAATATCCGTACAAGTGTATAGTATCACACAGTACAATAAGTACAATACAATCAGTTACACTTCAAGCTACTAAGATCGTTAAACACAACGCAATGCAAACCTCATCTAAAGAGAAAGCTAACTCGAATATCTCAGTTCACGCGGAACTAAACATCTATCAAGAACAATAAGAAAGAAACTGAGAGCAGATCCTCTCTTTTCGGCCTTAAATAGTTTTTAGGCGGCCACTGAGATATTTCTGGTACTTTGTGCTTCTCGAAATTGCTGGAAAGTAATAACGGTGTGGAATTACGTTTACAGCTAATATACTGGAAAATTACATTTATATTCAATTTCAGTACATATTACGGTGATACAGGGATCTGGCCAAATGGTCGCCAACTTTGGTGACAAAATAATTCGCTGAAACCGTAGTCAGCTTGGCGATATCTCGAAAAATTATTGAGACACCCAATTAATCAATGTCAAATGCACCTGTTCTTGTATTCTTACTTTCCGATATAGTTTTCTCTCAAAATTTTTCCCGCGCTATATTACACAGAAAAATACAACAATTTTAATTATAATTTTACTAAAATTCCCTCTCTAAGTGCAGAATTCATAACAGTATATTAATGTATAGAAAGAAGAAGCTGAGAGCAATTTTTCTTATACTGAATGGAGATTTATTTCTCCCTCTTCGCCTTGGTTTAGCGGCTTTTGGAAAGTTTGATTGGAATCTTGAAGAGAATTTTAAGAAAAGTTGAATGAAAGTTTTGAGAAAAGTTTTGAGAAAAGTTTGAAGAGAATTTTAAGAAAAGTAATGTTCGGAAGAACATTACACAATTATAAGGAAATTTCGATAAAAACTCTGTAACTCTGAGAGTAGTATAAACTCATATCCTTTAACTTATGTTACAAATGATATTGAAGATCTTAATCCTATTACACTTGACCTGTTTTTGAAGGAAATTAGAGAAACAGAAGTACCCGATTTACACAGTATAGATTACATTAAGTTGGATTAACAACGCATTTATATTCAGAAAATTCATCAAGACCTAAGAACACAATTTCGTACACAATATTTTGGTCAACTAAGACAGTCGAGTTTATATGGCAAAAAGTCGAACTGGAAATGTTGTGATCATCTGAACAGAAAACAGAAAGCGAACGAACTGGAAGTGTTCTAGAAGTTTATCCAATTAAAGAAAGAGTAGTGCGAGTCGCAAAAATCAAAACCAAGTCTGGTACTTTAATACAACCTGTAAAAAACTTTGTCCATTACAACTGACAGATTCTCATCGGGATGTAGCGACTGTTGAGAAGACTAAAAATTTCTAACAATATCAAAACTTCACATAGTGGACGAATAACACGCAAGCCCTACAGGTATCCCCACTGAAATGGATGTTAAGATCTGGTAGATACCCAAACTCGAGATGGAGAATGGTCTCAGTGACTTACATGAACTTGAAAATCAGCATGCTACGTCTCAACCCCAGTCGGTTCGATTCTGGTTCGGATTCTATGAGAATCGAAATGAGCCGAAGGACGCTGTCGTCGGAAGCGGCGGATGACATATAATCTATTAACATGTAATCTATAATAACATCTAATCTTTATAGATTACAATATATCATGCGACTTTATAGTCGCATGACACATTGTTGCCCTATTAAAATATAAACAGGATATCCTTAAGGTCTCTGGATGTACTTCTGCAGTTTCATATTAGTTAGTCCATAAACAAATCATGGAAAACAAACTGTAAGATGTGTCTAGATTAGCGAGAAAAAGGTTAAGTACGAATAATGGTACTATTAGGTCTACTTATGTGCTTGTATACAATAATATGCATAGAAAATAAAACACAGCCAATAAAATACATACCATAAAATTCATGAAACAAATACAGAGGGTTTCATAGATTATGGGAAAAACTTGGAGGCGTGATGGAGCGTACTAAAATATGAATTCTTTATAGGAATGTAGGGTCTAAAGTGACGGGTCAAGGCAGGAACGCTAAAAAACGAAACGTGAGGAAAATGTGTTTATGTAAAAAATCAACGCAAAGTGCTTCTTTGTAGCAATACAGTATTCACAATAAATGTTCAAAATTGCGGCCAGCAGCAGTAATACATGCTTGTTAACGTCGCAGAAGGGATTGACGAAATTTTTGAAAAACGACAGGCACTTCGCGCACTCTTGCAGCCTCAATGGATAGTCGTGCAAGCGAGGTTCTCCGGTGAGTCAACGGGAGTCTCGTAAA